GAACTGTAAATCAAAAAGGCATGAGATAAAACTTTCACAGGATTATCTTTGAGAACAAGTTTAAAAAATTAAAATACCTAGGTTCTAATGTATTAGAAATTCAGTGGCAAAATGCAGAATTGATCATTTAGTCAGAACTCACTGGGGTGGGCTGACAGGGTAGAGATGTGAAACACATAATGAAATTGTTCAGAGGGCTGACCACCTCAAAGGTCATTGGCAGAGTGGCCTCCAACACCCAATAGCCCAAAGTGCTACCTTCTAAGAATTAGGAGCTGCTAGAATGCAAAAGTCTTTATAGTGAAAGTAAAAACAAAGTGTCCTCCTAAACTCCATTCTGGTTAAGTGTTTCCATAACAGGAAAAGACAGCTTCAAGTGAACAGTGACTTTAAGCTCACAGACCTGGGAGATGTGTTCAAGGACAAAACTGAAAAGCTTTTTTGAACTTCTATTCAGTAGTTTCCCTGTTTGAGGCAATATGTTAATGTCATTATGAAAATATTTTCCTAGGTCAAGTAAGCAAGCAAGTATGAAATGTCTATTATGAGGAAAATGTCATTCAGCATAAGAAGAGATTCAATTATAAAACCAAAAAAATTAAGTAGAAATACCTTATTAGAATTAAAGTAGAAATATCAATATGAACTTGTGATTAAAAAAATATTAAATCCTTTATGGTGCTCTGTACTTAAATGGCCAAGAAGCAGTGTCCCTCTGGCAGCATGAGTGTGTGAAGTCCCTATGTTGGACACAAACACCAGTCCTCATAACCAGAGTCCCTGGAAGAAGTTTCTCTTCCATGTCATGGGCAGGGGAGGAACAGTGTGGGCTAGAAAGCACAGAAGCTCTAAAAAATTAATGGAATTGTGGGAAAGGCACAGTGGTGCCCACCTGCAATGCCAACAACTCAGGAGGCTGAGACAGGAGAGATCACAAGTTTGAGGCCATGCTTTGTAACATAAAAAGGGCTTGAGATGTAGCTCAGTGAATACACTTGGCTCCCATCCCTAGTACCACCCACACAAAAAAAATTAATGAAATTTTGTCAAAAGGATATCTTTAAATGGGCTCCCAGGAGCCAGAGGTATGTCATTTGAGCCCCCCAAAATAATCATGATCCATAGAAACACATTAATCTATAAAAATTCTAGAGTCTATGGCTGGGGTTGTAGCTCAGTGGTAGAGCACTTGCCTAGTACATGTGAAGCACTGGGTTTGATCCTCAGCACTACATTATAATAAATAAATAAAGATATTGTATCCATCTACAACTAAAAAAATTCTAGAGTCTATTACCATTCTTAAAACAGAAAAATATTCAAAAGTTATCACAACTAAAATAGCTATGACACTAATTCTTCAGTTTTAAAAATCAAGAGAATTGAGCCTATATACTATTTTCAGTATGGGCTGTGTTTGTAAGGGAATGGGTTTAGTTAATGTGCATATAGTTAAATTCTACTTTATAGAAGTCTACCTAATAACAATAGAAAACTATCATTAAACCATCCCCAATGAAATTACCTGTTTATGTGGGAATTTTCAATCACGGATGAAACATTGTCACATGTGACTAGATAGATACCACTTTCAGAGGAGCTGAAAGAATGAGCTGTGGTTCCTCAAGAAGCGAACACTGAGGTTGTGTGCCTGCAGGCTAATGAATGTTTACAGGAAGGCAAATTTTGACCTGCAGCTAGTTTTCATAATAAAGTGGTCAGGAAGTAACTGATCCTTTGTGATTTCTATTACATCCAATAAAAACAAAAACAAGCCCAGGAATCCTGTGTGACCAAACTGGCTTGAATTAGTTCTCCACAGCTACCTGGAGTAAGATAGGGTAAGATGGTGGGAAGAGCAATACTCTAACCTCAATGGCTCCTTCTGTAGTCTCCACTCAGTCCCAGGTCATTAACCTGCCAGGCAGGCTGTCATCGGAGTTACTGGGTCTTTGCTCATGGCAACGTAGTCTGAATGTTCGATCTTCTTCTAGACCTTAAGATAAGAGATCATTTTGAAGCTATCAAATGTCTTCTTAGCAATCTGATATAATCTGAGTGTTCACAGGTGCTAAATCAACTTGTTTTTATTTTCCTCCCTGGGTAAACTCTATAAATAATGTGTAAACTAAATAATCTGTGAAAACAGCTGATAAATCCAAACAAAAAGACAAAGTAACTGGACCCAAATTAAGGTTCAGAAGACAGAACTGCATTATTACTCCATGGAGCATGGGAAGAAGGGACAGACCTGAGCATGTGATACTAAGCCACCTGCAGAGAGAGAATTACAGAGAGGCCATTGACTCCTACTGGCAAGTCTCACTGTGCTTGCTGCCTGTGGAGTCATACTTCCTAGGCTTTCAGGACTCACGCTGTGTAGACTGAAGATTCCTGGTTGTCCAGGAAGGGCTTTATAATTGTCACCTCTGCCCCAGAGTTTGCTGTAATAGAATTGCCAGTGAAGCTGAGACCAACAAGGCACTGACTACAGCCCTGACAATTGGTATCAACGTCATCTTAAAAGTTAGTTCCAATTCATTAGGATCTTCAAATTCTATTTCATTATTTGAAATGAAAAATGTTTTTAGCTTTTTAGAATTATTTGTGGAGAATATTATATGTGATTATATATAT